CCGATGGGCTCACCCTTATCCCCGATCATAGCGGATTTGGTTTTACAAAATTTAGAAATAGAAGCAATAAAAAAACTTGATCTAAATCTTGCCTTTTATATAAGATATGTTGATGATATTGTGACTATAGTCCCTAGTGAGATAATTGATAAAGTTCTTAAAATTTTCAACTCTTTTCACAATAGAATACAATTGATCATGGAAGTAGGGGGCAATAAAATAAGTTTTTTGAATGTGTTAATAATGAAGAGGGAAAATAAATTAGAGTTATCAGTTGATGAACTTTTGATTTATATTAGAGACGAAAAAAATTAGCTTTTTTTTATTTTAAAGAAAATATCAGATAAAAAAGGGGTTTCTTAACCAAAATGATATGAAATTCTTGAAAAATGTATATAGAATTATTAATATCATAAAAAAAATATCAGATTTATAATCAATACTTTACTAAATAATGACTACCCAATAGATTTTATTTTCAAAATTATTAACAATAGAATAAAATACTTGCTATCTGAACGCATTTCATCAAGGAATAAGAACAATAATTCTACTAATGAGGAGACCAATGAAATAGCTCCTTGATACCTTACAATGCAATAAACTCTGAAAAGTTTGTGACGATCTGTAAAGGTGAGAATATAAAACCAGCAACAACAAGTTTTTAGTAACAACAAGTTAAATAAATTCATAAAGGTCCAAAAAGATGTTCTCCCAAAAAATTCAAATAAAAATGTAGTTTATAAAATTGAATGCAAAAATTGTGTAGGTCAAACTGGTAGAAAATTAAGCACAAGGATTGCTGAACACCACAATCATATAAACTGGAATACAAATAAACAATCTGTCATCACGGATCATACATTAAATTTTGATCATGAATTTGACTGGGAGAACGTGAAAATATTGGACAAAGAAAGAATTTTGAATAAAAGACTGATTTCAGAAAAAATACATGTTCATATGCAAAAGAACGGATCAGACACTGATGGACTACATTATGCTTATGCATCAATGTTGGAGGAAATACAATAGTTATTAATACTAAAAGAATATGCTCCACAAGATAAATTATATATAGAATTTGGATGGTGACATGTGTAGGATTGTGTGTATGATTTTGTATTTATAGCTAAATTTGTCTTGTTTTCTTGGTCACTATTTCCAACTTAAAGTTTCTCATTCTTGTATATAATTTTTCTATAACAAATAAGAGAGACATCACATAGAAGTTAAAATATTTCGTTGAATATACTACCTTAAACATTTTATTTACTATATGTCTCACCTTTGTTAAATTCAATTTTGCCGTTATTAATACTCGACACTCCGAACAGATAAAAAGAGAATATTTTGTTAATTATATAATTTAATTCGAATATTAATTTAATATCCAAAGTTTTATTATGGGATTTTTGCGAGCGCTATAGGTGAGTTACTCTATCAAAAATCTTTTATAAATTTGACATTTCATAATTCTAAAATATTATTTAGATATTACTACAGTTTTGGAAATCTGAGAGTAACCTATATCGTCCGTCGCAGAATCCAAATTAGTATGAATATGATTGCTGAAGAAGATTCGAAAGAGAATCGAAACATTCAAGACTTTTAATAAAGATGATTCACCAATATCGAATTGTTTGAAGACATTTTTTTTTTTATAAGAAATTCCTTACGCTCTTTGACTTGCGTTGACTCTGACTAGCCTGATTTATAGGTCTGAATTTTCATATTTTATTACTAAATTGATTATATTATAGTTATAACAATTAATAAGCGGACCATTGAAATGCGTATTTAAAAGTTGTGGCTCATTACATTGGCTTATGTTTAAGTTACGATATATAGGGTGTCCCAAACTTTTTTCCACTCACTTTTGTGTAGATAGAGCGGACTAAACTGAGTCGAAAAGTCCTTTACCATTTTGCAATTTTCGCAGTAGCTAACAAGATATTAATTGCTAAAAATTGCTAAATATTGATCTTGAATAATTTTTTACTCAAATACTATCAACTTTACAGAAAAATTGCATGAGACAAAAATCATTAATTTTCTTCTCATAAAGTTCTGAGAATTTTTTATCAACTTTTTAGTACTGCATTTTCTTATTTTTACCAACATGAGAAAATACGGTATTAAAAAAATCTGAAAAAATTCTGAAAAAAATTCTCAGAACTTTATGAGAAGAACATAAATGATTTTTGTCTCTTGTAATTTTTCTGTGAAGTTGATAGTATTTGAGTAAAAAATTATTCATGACCAATGTTTTGCAATTTTTAATAATTAATATCTTGTTAACTATTACGAAAATTGCAAAATGGTAGAGGAACTTTTCGACTCAGTTTAGTCCGTTCTATCTACGCAAAAGTGATTAGCAAAAAGTTCGGGACACCCTGTATACAATTATTTTGTTCGCTTATCCGGCAAACAATTTGCTCCAACGGTTTATCATTTTTGCGAATCATTTTCAATATAGTTTGCATAAAATTTTCAAATAGAAAAGCGCTCCGAATTTTTTAACATCATCACAAACATGTAGTAAATGATATCTGTTATGCGATGAATTTTCTTTACCGTACAAAAAAATAAATGTTTTAACATAATATTGTAATAATAACAAAATTAGGTCAAAACGTGGTTGATATTAAAAACAAAATTCAAATAAGAGGCAATAAACCATTACGCCAGTTATCAGAGGCGA